TATATATGTATATGTATATGTATATATATATATATATATACATATATATATATGTATATGTATATGTATATATACTGTATGCACATGTATAAACTCGCATGTATATATATACATACATACATACACATGTACATATATACATATATATATGTATGTATATATCACAACTACTTGGACGCTACTCACTACAATCACTTTCGCTAGTGTATGATGTATAGGTGACCGTCGTGCCTGTCGCTCCTAATAATAACGTAGTTCTCCTAATAATAACGTAGTTCGTATCAACATAATTAACGTAAAGGGTAAATTAGACACCTGTGGAAAACTTGCCACTTAACTAGTTTCTTAAATGCTCAATGCAAATAACAGAAACTATCGATACAATTATAAAAAATAGCTGAAAAATAGGAAAAGTAAATAAGAGGGAGATAAGATAAAACCAACGTTCTTGATCGGTGAATTCATTCAGACGATCTGTACTTTTTACAAATGGGAACTTCCTCGAAAACGAAAGCTGGCTTTTACTTCCTCGTCTGCCTTCCATTCCACCACCACCACCGGCACTACGACCCAGTGACATGGAACCAGCGTTGAAATTCACCTGTAAAAAGATTTTTTTTTTGTAAAAAAGGAGGAACAGGTTACATACAACAACTTTCCCAGAATCACTGACTGAAAAGATCCTTAAAGAAAAAATTTCTCGTTGAGCAAAATCTTTGCTACATAAAAATTTCACCTGCTTTCGTCGTGCTCTTTCCCGTTTTTCAATTCTTTTCTTCGATGGAATCACTCCCTCTGGTGTCTCTTCTCCGTTGTCCAGAACCTGAATCCATAATTATACTTTGATTTTCTAAGGAAAACTTTTAATATTCATTAAACCTTTTTAGCAGTCCACCAATCATCGTCCGATGTGTTCATGATGTGCAATATGTCCCCATATTGAAACGATATGGAACGATGAGGAACGCCGACTTCACGAGTGTGGTCGTAATCAAACAAGGATCTTAAGCACTTGGTTAATCAATGTGGTATTTAATAAAAAATCATTAAAAAAAAATAAAGAAGTAAAGCTCTCGGTGCTGATCAATCCCTGAGGGATGGGCCATGCATTCGACTTCACTAAGTACCGCAGGAGATAAATGAATGCATATCTACTCTTTACACTCTCGCGGTGGTCTACCAATGTATAGAGCCAGTGCTGCTATTCTCCCAGAGAAGTCTGCTATCAACTCTCCGACCCCGGGGGGATGGAAGGCTTGGTGAGACAGGAACGTGGAAATCGATCCCATGTGTGTTTCAGAGCGCTTCCGACCACAGCGCCACGCGCACTCTTACGTGGAAAAGTATAATTACAAAAATGTCCATCTCTACAACTCATCTGTAACGCTAAGATAAAAGGTGCAATTTCATATAAAAGTCTAGATGGGTGCTTAAGATTAAAAAACGTGAATAAATGCAGGTTTTGACAACAAGCTCCAATATAAAGCTGTGATGAAGACGGGTTCGAAGCATTCCAGATGGATTTGAAAAACTCCTACAGAGAAAAACAAAACTTCCACAAGGTCAATGCATTTATTGGTGACTTCAACGCCAAGAACGGTCCTAGGAGAACTTTTGGAAAACCTAGCACCGAAACCTACTGATTAAAACGGCAGACTTAAACCACCAAAAACACCTGTTTCCAGAAACAATCGACCTTACACATCAAAATAGAGCCGTGAGAACCGCAAGCACTTACGTCACAACTTGCAAACCACTGCAATACAGAGAAGCGATGGATCTTAGGCAGAAAACAGCAACAGCACTCGCTCCATGAGCTCTACTACGGCCTCTTCAACAGTTATCTCCACCCACCTCCATATGGGATTAGGATGGATATGTAGACTCAACGGTATGTTCTTCTGAAAGTCGATTTGAAACCCGACCAGTGTAAACCACGCATTCCGTGCAGGATTTCACGTAACATAATCGCTCGGTCTGTCTACTGACTGTTTTCGCTACAAGCTCTTTTCTAGAGTCATTCTCAATAGGAACTGATGTGTCATTGGGTGAACAACAATCGCAGGATTACCTGCAATCACGGCTTCGAAAGAGATGAGAGCGAAACTCAATGAAACTGAAACAATGCGGCAAATCCCTTATTCTCATTACCTTTATCCACCGAAAAGAAAGCTCCTGTCTTAGTATATGTAAGGATAAAGGATAAACGTCTCGGTATCGATCAAACCCAAGGGATGAGCAGTGCCTTCGACTTCATGAAACATCGTTGAAGGTACTGAATGCATACCTGCCCTATACAGTGAGTCACGATGGTTTAGCTATGGATCGTGTCAGTGCTACTCTACACCCAGACAATTTTGGCACCAATCTGCCGACCTCGGAGGATTAGAAGGTTCGGTGAACCTGGAGCACAGGATTGAACCCATGCGTATTACAGGATACCTCTAATCAGTGCGCTACACGTACCACCCTATTTGCAAACATACAGAAGAATGGGAACTGACTCACCTGACATATAATTCTTTACGAGGAAGCGTTCCGCCCGATGTATTTTGCTGTATCATATCATTTCGTAACCGTTCAATTTTTGCCTCAAATTGCTGATAATCTGAAATATTTTTCGGTATATCCACAGAAGTGCTAGATGCGAAATAGTGATTTCCGTCGAAAAGAAAAGCCAAGAAAAGAATTAAAATGTCGTTAAAAAGTTATAAAAAATTATAATCTTAGATCTCGCTTGTTACTTAGATTAAAATCCCGCCTAAAGAAAAAACAGCAGAGATGTAAAAGCCTAATTTACTTTTCTTATCAAGCAATGTTATAACAAATTATAACAATGCAATATTATAACAAATATTATAACAGCATCACGTCATATCACTACGCAGTAAACTATTTGTTAACGCACTTAACTGTCTATACCAATGCATGAACATAAGCACTGTTCTTTAAGCGACTATCACGTTGTTATATAAGTACCGTTTCATATTGGATATTTGGACAATTGTATGGCCGGTCTTCACTGGTTATGCGAGTCCAGCATAATTTCCATTTCTACGGAGTTTCGCTGCTTTAGCGATTCAGGAGTCCCGACGTCAGCTAAAGTCTGCTCCAGGTCCTCACCACTACAAGCAGTCCCTGCCCTTGTGGATCAGAGCGAAATTTGCTGCTATGCAACTAGTTTGGCACCAGGATGGTGCTGGATCCTGGTAATGGTTTACTCTTAGCTAGGCTTCCTAATGGAAACGTCGTACTCGTTCTAGCTTGGGAAGAGCCGCTGATGGCATAAACCCCTGTGCTGTACTTCGCAGTCCAACACCAAGGAACACCACATCATCAACTTCACAAAAAAAAAACAGCTTTCAAGAATCAATTACATACCATGTGGCCTGTATTGTAACGTAAGTGTCACGGGATTCTGTGCATTCTTGAGTGCTTCAGCAGCTTGGGAATGTGTCGCATTACGTAGTGAACGACCATTTACCTCAAGAAGCACATCACCCTAAAAGCGTTGCATTAAAAGCGTAAATCGGACTAAACGCTATGTATGAAAAGGGGAACTTAAGAGCCAAAATGAAAACAGTAAGTTTTTTTTAAAAAAATCTGCAACATCAAGTTCTTACTTTTCTAACGTTTCCACTGAGATCAGCGACGCCACCTGGCAAGACATAGCTAATATAGATTGGTTCATTGTCCTCGCCACCAACGATATTGAAGCCAAGACCCTTGAACAAAAAAGAATACTGGGTAGAAAATTTTGAACCACCACAACAAACGCCATGGACCGACAAAATGAACTTAGGAAATTCCATATTTTCAGTACCTGAAGAGGAAAGGATAAACTTCATCCAACGATTGTTTCAAATACCTCAATAATGGCACATAACAGAAAAACAGTACGCTTCGAAGCCTACCTGGTTTCCTCTATACAGAGGCACAGGTCTTGGATCCATTGTTATGGGAATATGGGGAGTTATGCCTGAACCAATTGGTGCTTGTGGTCCTCCATAGGTCAACGCTGTTTGTGAATCGAAAGAACGATTGAAGTCTTGCATTGAGCTGGCTAAAAAGAATCACATATGGTAGAAGCAATGTTTAAAGCAGTAAATCATCTTGATATGGCCTTGCAGAGGAGAAAAAATCACATCTGATTGGCGTCGTTTGTGGATACTGAGGAGTACTCGCTACGAATTGGCGGCTTCCAGCGTCGTCAATAGTCCCAACGTTAACGTTAGGATCTCCTTTTAGCACCAATAACGTCACTTTCGTACCAGTTTGCTTCAGCACGTTTACAGCATATTCATGGGTGACATTTTCCAGCAAAATATCGTCCACCTGAAAAAACAACGCTCGAATTTAAACAAATAAATATTTAAAAAACCACTTCCAAGCACAGAAAAGAAGACATACGGCGAGGATTCGATCGCCCACTCCGAGACGACCATCATGATATGCCGCACCACCCTCTATGATTTTTGTAACATAAATATCGGTATCTCCAGGAAGATGTTCATTTCCTACTCCACCAGCAATCGAAAATCCGAGCCCACGTTGTCCCTAAAGTGGTTGATGATTTTATGGGTTTTCCAATTAGAAAAAACAAATGAAATATAGTTCTTCTCAGGATCTAAAAAATGTTGACTTGTTGTGACCACCAAGAATATGCAAAGCACTGCGACCAAAAGAAAATTAAACCTTGTATAGATCGATAGTGTGAGCCATTCTAGCTCGTGAGCTTAATCCAGCATGAGGTAGGGTTTGACCAAGATGTGTCTGTGAGCCACCATGAGCTGGTGGAGGAGGTGGTGAATAGGTGGGTACATTTGGAGAGTGGCCAGTCCTAAAATACCATAACCGATTGCGGCGATATCGTAGAGGTTCCCAATGACAAAATACATTTGTATACAAATAAACACAAAATACAAAAGACAAAAAACAAAAATAATACAAATACAGGGTACTTACCCTTCGAATCCTCTAGATACATTCAAAGCGCCTATTGAAGATGTGAGGTCATTTCTGTTGAGATGGCTACCCGATCCCATTAACGTGCCTGTTCCAAGGGGAAGATTCATGTCATCACGACGACGTTTCAGAGTCTAAATATGACATAATTAGTCGCAAAAAGCAACTGAGCAAAAAAAAGGAACTAATAATAGCCAGAATGTATAACATCGATTTACAAAATATAGGATGGCAACAGATTTTTGTTACAAGGTAACAAAGCCGCCCGTAAAAATCCGATTCTATCACCGAAGAATGCACATGGTGCTGATGTGAGAATTGATAGAGAGCATTTTCGATATCCCGTTTTGAGGTGAATTTATTTCTGTCACTATGGTGTTGCGGCGAATAACAGAGGTGGCACTCAAAAGGTAAGAGGTTAGGGCCATACCACCAGTGAAGCACCAATGTCTAGCGGAAACCACGCAGCTTTTCGGTGGGCATGTTTGCGCGCGAAAAGATACTTCGATGAGGCATAAATCTGTTTTTTCAGCCGATGAAATCGAGAGCTACCATAAATCTAAACAGCTGGATACAGTAGACCTCACAAGTGGCATCGTTTAGTAAAGAGGTAAAGAAACTCTCTTCATACATATTCGGATACTGGCCACTATACCGACAGTATAACCTTTTTGCGAGCATTTGGCTTTCTGTTGTTTAATGGAACCTACAGATGATTCAACCAATGGACTTCGCGCTTGAAATTAGAGTAAATACCTCATTTATCGTTAGTGGCTACGGCGACTCTGAGTAACTTTTGGTTTCTGGTGTGCGAGAAGAATCAGGCGCTGATGTCGGCGCGAGCACTAAGTTCTTTTCCTTTTGTCAAGGTGTATTTTATAGTTTTTGCCCGAGTTTCAGGACTTCACCACGTGAATACAATCATTCTCGATACAAGAACCACACAGTTTGCCTGACTAGGATACTTGGAATGGCCCGCCCTCACTGGTCGTGCTGCCCCCAGCATAATCTTCACTTTGTCAGAGTTTTGCTGGCTTAGTCATTGTTGTTCCCTAGAGCCACGAAGTCAGCCAGGCCAGTCTGCCCAGGTCGCCACCACCACATGGTCACCGCCTTTGCAGATCAGAGAGAGATTTCTCACCATGCGACTAGTTTGATACAAGGGCGGTGGTGGATCCTGGTATTGGTTTAATCTTAACTAGGCATCCTGATGGAAACTCCAGACACCTTTTCAGCTTGGAGGTCTCCCGGGAGGATAAAACCTGGGTTGTACAACGCCGTCCGACACCCAGGAACACCTCCCAGTCACGATGAGGCGGTACACAATTGGTAGGTGCTTGACTAAAAGATGGCTGTTGGAAAGAGGTTTGGAAATTCGGACACACAACTGCATCCTACCCGCTAGCAAGAGCAACACACACTCATTCCCGCATTTTGTTACAATGACCACCGACAGGTACACAATCAAAGTAGAATCCGCTAATGGTTCTTCATTGAGCATTTTCAAATCCAGCCGTTGTTGATATTTTTCCATCATTATTGAGAAAACATTGCGTGTAGCGCAGTGGTCGGAGGAGCCCTGCAACACAAATGGGACCGATCACTGCGCCCCAGTTCCACCAAGCCGTCCATCCCTCTGGGGTGGGCTAATTGGTAGCAGACTTTTCTGGAAGGACTGCAGTAGGGGCTCGATACAACGGCAGGCCACCGTGGGTCATTGTAAAGGCCAGAGATGTATTCAATCACCTCCAAAAATGCTTAACGAATTCAAATGCATGGCGGCATCCTTCAGGGATAGATCAACGCCGAGAGCTTTAACTTTTATTGGAAAGACATCGTTAATGCCACTACAGCACCGGTGCAGAGCTGTTTTATAGACTCTCTGGTTCCAAAGCAGAAGGAAATCAAGTGAAGTTGGTATCAATCAAAGCATATTTATAGCACTTTCAATGAATGGTGGTAACTAGTTAGTAACTCCAACCGATTACAACACATGTTGTATGCTATAATAATGACAGACTTTGGATCAAGGAAATCACGAACGAGCTCTTCTACTTTTGAAGCGTTGGAAAAGAATTCTGTTATCAGCACTTGACAGAAAAATTCAAAATGAAGCGAGAAAAGAAAACTCCATTTTTGAAGATGATTTACCAACCAGTCTGACAACATTTCCTGCTGTTTTCAATGCATTAACCGCAACTTCATGTGGAACATTAACACAGTCCGTGTTGTTAACTTTCAGAATTTTGTCGAATTTCCTGAAGAAACCATCAGCGAAAAACTAGTAGCGGGTTGAAATCGAGGGTTTGTTTCAAAACCAGAAGTTGTTAATGTCACCTCATGCGACCATCCGCTGCTGCGGCACCGCCCATGATAATATTGGTTACATAAATTGAAGTATCACCGTCGTCCGATGGCTGATCAACTCCTGGAAGCATAATCTACAAGTAGAAGAAAAGTTCGAAAACAAAGAGAAAAGCTCAAGAGAACCTCCGGTTATTGAGAAACCTAATCCAGTTGTGCCTTTCTCTAACACAACGTCTTCAATTTCCCAAGCACGACCCAAACTATCAGTCATTCCATTTACCTGAAATTACTTCATAAACCACCTCTTTATGTCGTGATGAAGGTTCACGTTTTGAAAAGTGACACCACAAATTGTAGGGTTCAATTTATAGAAACAATACTGAGAAACCATAGAAAAACCCTCATTATACCAAATTTACTCTCTACAACTTTCGCACCATGTAAACTTTAGGATGTTCTTACTTGTCGTACGGGAAATAGAAGAAAGACGGCGAGAAGATTTGTAGAGACTACCAAAAGCGACCATGCACTCGCTCTGAGACAGAGGTAAATAGAGGAGAGGGGGTCCCTAGATCTTTTGCGTCAACTGAACTTACACCTATACACATCCATGTGGGTGGTCAATTTGTCTGATGAAATCATTTTAAGAAACTTCACTTTGGTATTCATTACTCATTTCTGAGAGCGAAAAAGAACAGTACCACATAACGCTCGAGTACACGGTTGCCTCATATCACAACAACTAATTCCATACCCGTTAACGGTATTGATAGTAGTCGATTTTTATTTACTGCCTATTCATTTTTAGTGGCAGGATATTATGTGAAACATAATCGTAATGATGATGAGATATTTGCAAAACTCCGGACCGCAGTTCTCTGACGTGGGGAACGAACAAGCTATTACCCCTTCCGGAGGCTAACGCGTTCACCATCACACCATGTGAGTCCTTGGTTTCGCCTTTCTCTCAGCCGTGTTATTGAAATTGCTGGTTTTTCGAAAACAGGACAATTTTGCGGTAACATGACTTGTGGAGTTTAGAACATCATAAATCTATAGGACAGAATTTTCTTATCGATAAAATGGCATGCATAATATGTATGCTACTTTTTTGTACAAGTTATTACCAACCATCATATAGCAAACGTGCCTTTTCGGTAGTTTTTACGCCAAGCTAATCCACTGACATAAAATGAAAGTCAGTTAAAAGCCAAATAAAAGGTCAACGAACTCGCCCTCAAAAGTTTTTTGCACATTTTTTTCACATGACCCGTCATCACACATACTGTGCGAATCTCAGGACTTCTTGCATACGAGTCGTTTTTCTCGTATATATCGTCCATTACGGCTTTCGAACATTTCGCATTTTGTTTCGGTTGAAGTTCATCGATTTCTTCTACTTTATCGATGCTTTAGAACATTCTCTTTTACATATTATTAGGTTTAGAAGTAAAAACGCTCCGTGTGGTAGAATAAATGAATGAAAAGCAAATACATTGGATGCAGTGCAAGTCGTACACTTTGGTTGGCACTAACGCATGCACTTTTTTTTATAGTGCTTCTTGCGCGTTGTGTGTTGATTTTCTTCTTCACATCCCTAAAAAAACTTTCGCCACTCTGGGTTTCATAACCACAATTTTTCAGCTTTTCTAACACATACGAGAAATCCCAAGGTTGGGTTGGCTGGGGTAGGGAACTTGTCTTAAAAACATTGTCATTTGACATTGATAATGAAATACTGATGAAGAAATACATTCACCTTATGGCATATCAAAGACTTATAACTATAAAACGAAGAAAATGAAACAAGAAGAATTTACCGTCACAGATTGTTTCTGGACTCCACCTGGCCCATCAGTGCTACGTGTTGTTGTTTCAGTAGTGTGCCAGCTACCATCATTTGTCTATACGATAAAGACATCAAACTTTTAAACCTACACGAAACATGACATTAAGTAGGCTTAATATCTACTTACTAGCTGACGAAACCTCTCATGAACGACGTGACTCGAAGAGAACGAAGAATTTCCAAGACTTCCAACACCATTCTACAATCCAGATGTTCACTCCGGTCAAATGACAACAGAATTGATTGAAAGTATCGAAACCTCAGCAGTTGCCAAAGGTGCTGTTTGCGTGTGTATGTACGTATGTTCTGGTCGTGAAATAGTCGTGGAGCCAAACGGTGGGTTGGAATCCAGACGTTTTGCTATTTCTCGCGATTCCGCTATTTTTTGAAAAACCGTTTTACGTTCGTTGAGCAATGTTTCTTCGTAGAACTCTTGAAGATCTAAAACGTACAGCGTACTTCCATAACAAATCACTGAAAATAAACAGAACTCAAGAAAGTAGACATAGTAATCACACTTACCTAGAAGAGCTTGGAACAAGCTATTTTTGAAGGTTGTAATGACACGTTCGATTGCCACTCTGAGTTCGTCATCTCCAGGACGATTAAGGAGTGCATGATACTCTTCCAAGAGTTCCAAAGCACGGTACGCTTCTGGAATAGAATTTTTAAGCTTCAAAGTGCATATACATAAATATATATACTTAAAGGGTTAAAGCTTATGTATATGTACATATTTATATGAAAATATACGTATAGAAAGGAAAAACTCCGGACCACAGATGTCTGCGGTGGAGAACGAACGCGCTATTACACTTTCTGAGGGCTAACACGTTCAGCACCACACCATGCGGGTTCTTCGTTTCGCCTGCCTGTATATATATATATATATATATATATATATATATGGAAATATTACATACATATATGTATATGATGATTAAATGGTAACCAAACCTTCACTCAGCACTTTTTGCATGTGTGATAATCAGCAACAATAACATTTACAACGAAACTTGTCAAATTACTCGAGAATTGTGGCGCAGTGGTCGTAGGCGCCCTGCAATACACATAGGATCCATCCTGGCGCCCTAGGCTAACCGAGCCTTCTATCTCTTCCGCTCTGTGAATTGATATCAGGCTTGTCGGACAGGATAGCAGCACCCACTAGCTCGATACCTCGCTAGGCCACCGGAAGCCATTGCAAAGGCCAGATATACATTCATTCGCCTCCATCGATACTTAATGAAGTCGAATTCATAGCGCATTCTTCACGAATTGATCGGCGCCAGGAACTCTACCTTTCTTTTTATTCGACAAGCAGACGATAAATATGGGTCTATCGCCATCAAAAAGCACAAATCTCCATATAAAACCTTCGCGTTCGAATTTAATAACACGTTAGATGAAGTAATCTGATGAATTTTAAAACGACGTTAATAACGAAACCCACTGAAGTTTTGTTTCCATTGGTTCCCTAGATGGAAACGCCGGAGTGAATTGAGTGAATTAAAAATTGAGTTCCTTGAGAAAATTTTTTGGTAAAACTCATGGCCCAGAGATAAAGAGATTCACAACAATTACAAAAGGCAAACAATTTTCATCCAGTGATGCTCATAACCCACTTGTATGTTTATAAAAGATAAATCAAGCAGTAAACGTCCAACGGCGATGAACGGTGTTGAGTGGTGCCCAATTTATTAGAATTTGGACAAGTTTGTTACGCTAGAGCGCTGCGAAAGTTAACCATACGGCATCGAAAAGAAAAGTGGACAAGAATTCTCGACTTCTGGAGATCACCTCCTACGAGTAGCGGCAGTAGAACGTTCACTAAGAGAAGATAAACACGAAACTTCACCGTGTCTACATTTCTCTCAAGTTATACCAATGGTAACATGATCCGTAGACATTACAAACGCCTTGGCTTATACTCCACTGTCGACGACTAGGAGCTACAACATCAGCTGAAAAATCACTCCGCTATGAGTATGCTATATCTATGGGAGCAGTCGTCTGTCACGATCCATCATAAAGAAACGCCTCGGTGTAGGAAAACGATTAACTAGTGAAGTTCATATAAGTCGACAAACAAAAGCCAAATCCCGCATATATCGCTCCATCATTCGTCACTTTTGCAGCGTTATAGTGAACAGTTCCTGAAGGATTCGGTAATAAGAGGTAAGAGTTGGCTGCCATGCTGTATTTATGCATGCCGTGCCTTCTACCTCACTTCACGAAGAGTCGTAACTTAGAAAAGACCTATGCTACACCCTGCCAAATTTTTTGTGCCAATAATGGAACTGGCGTGGTATGTTCTACTCACAGCTACTGTCCGGTCACGACAACGTGCACGTTTATGTAAACCAACATCCCAATTACCTGGCTGCAGTTGTGAGACAGAAACAGGTTCTAGTTCAAGTTTTTTTTGCCTCCGCAATGACGCTAAACTGCATTTGGTGATTCAGCAGCAGTCAGGAATGCACGACTTCAAAACAGTCGCGCGAATAAACTTGAATCCCATGGAGAATTTTGCCCACTCTTTCTGAGCTTTCAAATGTCTCGCTTGCGGTAAGCGCCTCACCAATTTCAATGACACCACGTCTGAAATCCTAGAATTCCTTAACTTAACACCACAATAATTATGGGGAATGATGCATTCAGTTAATGCACAAGAAATGAATTAACACGGCGACTATAACTGATCAAAGCATACTTTTGTAGTTTAAGACTCGTTCTCATATGGCTCATGTGTTTCAGTCCCAACTTTTCACTGCATTGCAACCGTCAACCATGGTTTTCGAATTCACATGTGACCTTGTCCGTGACTTCAACATCGTTATCTTTTCTCCCTACTGATTTTACTAAGTTCTCTAGTCCGACATGAAGAATGTTTACTGAAGGTGAATTTCTATAGAGTCCTTAAATAACTATACTAGAGCGTTCTCACGTTTTCATCACAGACATTAGCCTAACCATGGGGATCGGAAGGAGGCCTGCTTCCTTACGACAACGATTTTCCCATTTTGGCAAAGAATTCAGCGATTGGTCGATACATTGCTCGACGAAAATGTGAAAAACCGAATCCCATAGTTGAAATGAAACATGGAACGTATAAAAAAGTAAGATTCCTTGCTGCTGTTAGCTTGTTTATAGCAAACTCAATGCCTAGTAGTATCAATAATCAATAAAATAACGCAACGGCTATTTATTGTTATTTATTAGACGATAGATTTTCTTGCTGGCCAAAAAGGTCATTTCCTCAACCAATCGCAGGCAATCCCAATTGATTAAAAAATTCGGTTGGCACGGTTATCGTACCGAAAAATGAATTATTTCTCCAGCTTCTAAGCGACAATGCATGGGCCCGAATACATTAAAGAAACAAATCGGGTGACTACATTTGGCTTTGGAATCAAATTCTTCGATAAGCGTATCGGAAGTACCTCTAAACTGACTCTATCGGATTTTAGCTATATTTTAAATGGTGGCATATTTTCATAAATAGTAAAACGACACAATGTGACACTGGAGTGATAAAGGGCTTGATATGGAGTGGGGCGCACGGTCGAACCAAAAACCAGATGTGTACTCCAGGGCCCCTTTGACCACTGCGCTTTACGCGCCACATAAAACAACACAATGAAAATCACACATTTGAAATCGCTTAACAACGATATCTCTTGCTTCAAAGAATTCGTCATTGTCCAGATGAATTTTACCGAACTAGCTCATATAATTGCTTTCAACCGGAACATATTTATTCGAGAATCCAAACAACATACCTAGGCTTTTTCGAAGCTGAGCAACATAAAATGTCTTTCATCCAATGATAAAGTTTGATAAAAAAAAAGAAGTGTGCAAAAGCATCGAATGAACCACATATTTTACTGTAAACCGCCATAAATTAGAGAGAGAAGAGTAAACAGAATAGACCGTTCATGTCTGCGGTGGGTACTGAACATGCTATTACGCTTTCCGGAATTAACGCGTTCACCACCACACCTTTCGTCTTGCCTTTATTTCAAAGCCCTTACAACAATTTTAATAGAGAGCCATATGCTTAAACACTCAGTGAGTGATATGGAAAGTTTTGAGTTCACGTTGAAAACGAAGTTTTAAAGTCGACACATAAATAACATAATTCAAAAACAACTAAAGAGCAACTGCAGATTTGCGTAAAATTTGGATTAGTATGGATGTGGACCTATTAGGTAAGGACAATAAAGGCAATAAAGGCAATACAAAAAAAGCTTTTCCTTTCTGAATGCTTGGTTTACTAGTGCTTAGGTAACCACATGTTCTAAACTACTATGCAAATATAAAAAAACGGTTGTTATTGAGTGGCAAATTAGAAATGCTATAACTATGAACCTTTATAGAAACCATCAGGATTTGCAGGTTTCCGCAAACAAAACACAGTCTGGTTTATACCGGTGGAGCACAAATCTGCTTTTCTGGGAGACAACGATTTCTTCAAAGCGTATTTAACGGCGATCTCGCTGTTGAAGCACTTTTTACTATCACCTGGCGAGATTCAGAAAAAAAATTGAAGTCGGTTGGAGAAGTACAGTCAGTATAGTTACTGAAGCAGAGTTTAGTAGCCCAATTCGTTTCTCCAAACGGTTTACCGTCTCATCCTGGTTGGAAGGCGTTCCTGGATGTCGGGCTGCGATGTACAGCGGAGGGATTCATCACCAGCATGGACTCGGAAGCTAAGGACCCCATAGTTCCATGAGGAAACCCTGCTAAAAGTAAACCTATAGTAAGGCCGATCATCGTCCTGGTATCAAACTAGTCGCATTGTGGCAAATCTCCCTCTGACCCACAAGGGCGGTGACTGACAGTAGTGGTGACGACCTGGAGCAGACTTTGGCCTGGCTGACCTCGGCACTCCAGGGACCCACAATGGCTAAACCAGCAGTACTCCAAAACAATATAAATTACGCTGGGATCCGCACAACCTGTGAAGATGGACCATCCAAATATCCAAGCGTCCAGTAATTCGTTCAATACCATCAGTGTTAGTTGTGGGATATAAAATCTATAGTCGGAGATAACCTTTAGTGGCTTCATATGCTTCAGTTTTTCGTGAATCTTTTCGATATAAAGTCCTCGGGCGCAAAAATCTGATTTGTAAAATGCTCAGGAGTTTCTTCACAGTAAAATCATAGAGTCGATCGCTGTTAATGGTCGTATAACGTGCAAATCTCATCATATGTGCAACAAAGTTGCCGATTTACGGCTCGTTTATGTTGCGTGAAAGAACGGCAGATATCATAACGGCGATCTTTTCATTCTTCATTCAATTCGTGTAGCACCAGTTTGTTCAGTTTTTTCACCGCTCCAATGTCTCTCGAAAACCGTCAACCGAATGTCAATTGGCTAATTATGAGTTCTTCTGTAACATATCGAGCACTTTTTGGAAGATTAGAATCGATAATCGCCTTCAGATGATTGTCGCCAACCGCTGGTTGGCGTCCCCGACCTTCCTCATCATCAACAACACTCATATCTACGGTACAAAACTCCTCGAACCATCTCTGTACACTCTGCGCTCGGGATCGCTCTCCTGGGCACGTTTTTCGTCAAATTCGAGCTCCCCGTACGGAACTACGGCTAAGTTTGAATCCATGAAGCAAAAGACGCAACTTCCCTTCACCGACCACTTTCAATTGACTT